AAAAGTAGAAATCAGGTGTTTCAGAAAGAGTAAGCATATCATATCACTACTGTTAGCTAATTGGAATCTGAAAGCGCCATTCGTATCTAAATGTTTTCATACCATTTTATTAAAAAAAAACCAAAAAACAAAACAAAACAAAACACCTTTTTCTTCTAAATGATAGCTTTCTTACGTGCGAGTCAAATCCTCAATCCTCGCCCCACATTCTTAAAAGCAGTCAATAGGGGGTGATCGGTTGTTAGAATAGAAATTCACTTCGCACAGCCCCCCGTGTATATACGTGTATACTTTATCAAGATTGGTCCGATGAAAACATTTTGAAGTAGCTAAGTCTCTAACTCAATATCATCCAAAACCTTCGACATTGAAAACACGAATTATTTGTCAATTGTAATCAACATTGGTGTTGTGATCTTACCGGGAAAAGATGTCAAACGGTGACCTCATATTCTTATCTGGAGAGCATGCGCAATAAATACTATCGGTGTAGACTCGAATAACCAGACGCAGAGATTGCCATTCGATTGAGACTTTTGGCGTATTTCGCCGAACATAACTGCTTTGAAATTAGAGTAAAACGGAAACGATTGAATGTAAATCAGTTTATATACATCCATATTACATTATTATATGCATTGCGACCCATTTGTGTCAATGTGTAGGTCCCAAATATTAGCGATTTAGCTCCTTTAAGTGATGTCAGTCCACAAACATGAATCCAACCCTGATATCAATCCCAAGAGCGCTATGAAAGAACCCAGGGTCATAAAGTAGAATTTATGCAAAAGGGCCCCGGGCACTGTAATTAGCTGGCGGACTACCAATGCAAGTCGCAGCATTATAAGGAAATTTATTTAAACGAATAATAGTGAAAGTGAAAGTAGGCCTACTGCACCTACACGTTCCATGGAAGACGCTTCCTACGAAAAATTTATCTCCTAGAATTTATAAGCCCCCCCCCCCCCATGTGACGCCCATGCTGGCTGCTAAAGCAAAATCATCAATCTGATTAGAATACGGATCTATATTGCGTTTCGCTTTTTTTATTTTAATACTTTTGAATGCCTCCACGTGACTGGTTGTAGTGGGGGGGGGGGGGGCGTTTATGGACATGCGGGCGACTTTTTTTTTTATATACCTATGACGTTAGTCATTCGATTGACCAATACATTTGTTTTGTTTTCTTTTGCTGCGAACGTGACAAGGAGTAGGGTCGCCTGTCCAACCTCGTTGGTTTTCTCCGGGTCCTCCGGTTTCCTCCCACTGCTAAAGACCCCTATGCGCAAGCAAATTATTGAAATAAAATTAAAACCATATGTTAGTCCCGAAATGACCTAGTTTGTGTCGAGTGGACGTTAAACCCCATTTCTCTCTCTCTCTCTCTCTCTCTCTTTTGCTGCGAATTTCTGCCCATGGTTTCGCGCGCCAGTTTAGAACTCAACGCAACAGACCATTGACCTATTCCTCAAATTACTCAGAACGCGGGTTATTTAAGATCCATCCCGATGAACCTTCTCGGCCAATGCAGGGATCGAACACGCGACCTCCAGGCTAGCGAGCCAGCGTCTTGCTCACTTAGCCACCGTGGCTTCGGGGTGGACACGGATGTTAAACAGTAAAACAACAATCTGGTGTGGCTTGTCTGCGATATCACTTAGGCGTAAGCGGACCTAAAATCTCCTATTTACACACAATCCTGTAGCTACGAGAACGTAGCTAAAGACAAGCACATCAGTATATCTCAACGTTTATAGCTACGATTGAGTGCCTTTAGTTCCAAGTGGCAAACTCAGTTTCTTTATTAATGCACGTAACATCTTAAAAATAAGATAATTTTATACTATTATGACAAATTAAACTTATAGAGGCCAATGTATTCGCGTTTAAATTAATGAAGCGTTGTTTTTATCCGACATTTGCCACTTTAATTCAATATGTCATACATACATTTCTTCATCAGTGAAGGATCTGACATAGCCGTATAGAATGTTATTTTATTTTTAATATCGGATGTTAACTATGAGAACAGTTTTTTTTTAGTCTGACCCTCTATCTCATTTTAGAATGCACATCAAGGTTGGAAATACTTTCGTTAATATCGGATGTTAACTATGAGAACAGTTTTTTTTTAGTCTGACCCTCTATCTCACAATGCTTTGCAGCTAAACGCCTAAATCTATTTTTAGCTTCTGAAGAAAGCACTATTGATAATTTTACTAATATAATGTACACGGTCATTCCATGGTAATTGATGGTCTAAAACCGTTCCATGAAATCCGAATCTAGGGACAGCTTCAACGACTAAAAAGTCTGGCGCAGACTGATTCGAATAAACAACAAGCCAACAGTGAGGCTGATGTCCCCCGCCGAAATCCCAAAATAAATAGATGACACATTAATCGCAGAATCAGGATTATCTTGTCCCAAAGCATCGACATATGAAATTGATTAGCTCTGCTTAGCTTCAGCTCGAAATGTTAATCATTGAACTCAATCAAAACATTCACTGAATCACCTAATGAACATTCTACCTCAATTAAAAGCAGAGTCGTTATGTTCCAAAGTCTTCAACAATCAATTTGCTTATCGTTCCTTAGCCTAAGCAGAAAATTCTCACCATCGAACTTAAGTCAAGGTAATGATATAATGAATCTATATTCGGTGTTTCATTGCTCTCAATTCATTATAACCAAAGTTATCATGCCCCAAAGCATCAACCAATCAAATTGCTTATCTCTGCTTACCCTAAGCAGAAAATTCTCATTTTCGACCTCCATCAAGGCATTCATCTAATAAACACCTATGCCAAGTGTGAACATTCTAGCTAAATTAGAATGAGAGTTATTGTGTTCCAAAGTCTCGACCAATCAAATTGCTTATCGCTCTGCTTACCCTAAGCAGAAAATGCTCATTATCGAACTTAGTCAAGGTATTGATGTAATGAAATTATACACCAAGTTTCATCACGCTCACTTAATTAGAACTAAAGTTATCGTGTCCCAAAGCATCAACCAATCAAATTGCTTATCTCTGTGACACATTAAGCATGTTGACTACTGCTCGATGTGTAGAACCCATTTGAAGCATGCCAATTAGCACGTAGACGTTCATCATGTTGTTCAAAAACGCCTCATTGCAAACTAAACGTAACACACTAAAGCAAAGATAAGCTAAACAGTAAATCTTATGCACGAACCGATAGGAAAGCAAACATGGATACGATAAACCAGAACGCGGCAGTTTTCATCAACCCTTCCTTGAAGTATCAAATTTGACAATACCCCCCCCCCCCCCCCACGTGTATGGCGCTATTGCGTGTCGCATGTGCAGCTCAGTGGTTCTGTTGGGCGATAAGTTCTTCATCTGTGAACATACTCTCAAGGCATGTCAAATGTCCATGACTATTTATCATATCACAACCTGCACAGGTAATTTCATTTCAATATGCCCTACTTTTTTTAAGAGTATATATAGACCTCCCAGTTTACTACATAGTATTGTGCTTGGTAACAATAAGGGGATACTTATCGAAACGTCGTGCTTTTGTATAATAAACCAGTGATTGTTTTTCCATATAACTGTGTTAGTTCAGTTTGTGATGTACAAGGTCAACTGCGTTTCTAAAGTCAGGGATAATTGATTTTAAGAATAACAGAACACAATTTTTATGGGAAACAATCACTGGTTTTATTCTATTAGCACGACGTTTCGACAAGTATCCTCTTATCGTTATCAAGCTTGATAACGATAAGAGGATACTTGTCGAAACGTCGTGCTAAAAGAATAAAACCAGTGATTGTTTCCCATAAAAATTGTGTTCTGTTATTGTGTACCCCAATCACTAAATGCCACTTAAAGATTATGATTTTAAGAAGATTGTTATTTGGTAGATCTTCCCAGTATCTGGGCGGTCCAATTTCTTAGCATTTCTATATTACTTTTGCACTTAAACAAAAGTTTATCCATGTTCAAACTGTGTATCTGGCATCCGTCGAAATAAATATCAGTAGATCGAGTTAAATTCCTTGGTGGAATAAAATTTTATCAACCGAACCACATGCTTCTAAAATGATCTTTTATTTTGTGATCAGATGATTCGCAATTACATATTTTTAAAGCCGTCATCTGAGGCTAGTAATGCCGATAAACTAGAAAGCTGTGTCAGTGATAGACGAGAATGAATGAAAATTAACATGCTTAGACTTAACGATAACAAAACGGAAGTTATCAAATTAGGTCGGAATAATCAACTTAGCAAATAGTGACTAACTCAATTAAAATTGGTAATTCTGACATTCCTTGTGTTCAATCTGTAAGAAATATTGGTATTCAATTCGATTCTAACATGTAACTATCATCTTTATAAAATAGGTACATTTCGTCCATATATCGATTTAGAAGCTTGCAAAATGCTTTTGTGACATCAAGACTGGACTACTGCAAATCGATGCTCTATGATCTTCTAAAGACATCTATCCAAATCCTGCAGAACATCAACCCCAGGACACACCACTCCTGTCTTAAAGCAGTTGCAGTCATTGTACGAAAAGATTTTAAAATATTGTGTCTAACTTATCAATGTGTGTAATTGATCCCACTTGCCCGAGTACTTGTCGGGGGTTATCCACCCACACATGCCCCCTCGTTCTTTAAGATCTGCTTCCAATAATTTGCTTGTAACACCAAGAACTTCACCGGTAGTTTGCTAATAGGTCCTTCACTTCGGCAGCCCCAAGTCTGTGGAATGCTCTAACCCAACAAACTAAAGATAGTTCTACCTTGGAAATTTTAAAAGCTAGACCCAAAACCAAACTTTTAAAATAATAATAACTTTTATTATCATTAATAACTTTTAATTATTGTTTTATTAAGAACTTAACACTGATTTTTCTAAAGCCATAATATCTTTAATTATCGTTAATAAATTTTAAATATTGTTCTATGTTTATTTATTGAAAACTTAATATTGAACTTTTTATAAAAACTTCTTAATAATATTTAGTTTAAATTTATTCAGGTTGTTGTCAATCGAACGAAATATCAGTAGATCGTAGCAACCCTGACACCGTAACATCCACTAAATATTTCTTTCGTTTAATACTAAGTTTAATATACTCGTCTCTTTAATATCAGTTGGTCATTTCTTATGGAACTGTCATTGTATTTTATCACCCAATAATACATTCTACAGTAGATATCGCTTGTGTGACAAACTTCATAATCTACTGCGATATGAATTTGATTGGTCAATCAAAAAGGAACTATTTTTTTTTATTTTCAAAGAACAGTTCATTTTTTTTTTATTAAAGTAGCTAAGTCTCTAACTCAGTATCGTCCAAAGTCTTCGACACTCAAAACACGGATTATTATTCAATTTAAATCAACATTGATGTTGGGATCTTACAGTGAAAAGATGGACTTCTGATATCCAATATTTAATACAAAATCAACATTTTACCATTGGTACACGAATCGTGTACCATAATGCGTTTCAGCACCACTTGTAACAAGGGACTCGACGAACGAGGCTAGACATTCCACAAGTCATACCAAACGGCGAGAGAATGCACAATAGACTGGAATAACCAGACGCTCGAGATTGCTATTCGATTGAGACTTATGGCGTAGTTCGCTGAACACAACTGATTTAAAATTAGAGTAAATACATAAACGATTGAATGTAAATCAGTTTGTATACATTCAGATTATATTATTATATCCGTTGTGACCCATTTGTGTCAATTTCTAGGTCTCAATTATTAGCGATTTATCTCCTTTAAAAGTAACTTCTTTCTTATTAAAAAGGAACTGTTTTTATTTAATTGACCTTGATGGAAACACTGGGTCAATATAAAGGACTTTGCAATGGTTGAATTGCTGTAAAAAGTGATGTATCACTACGCCATAATGCAATCAGGTTCAGTAAAAAAGTGAAATCTATAGTAAAGAATTACATTTATTTATTTGTGCATGTAAGAAGGGATTGGGTGATAAATAAAATCTCCTACTCGTTTTTTTTTTTACTTTATCGACTTGTGTTGATATTTTTTGATATCAAAAAGACTCGTAGGAGATTCTCTATATGGACACTGCTGAAATATTGAATGCTTTCAAAATGCTAGATAGCAATCGTTGGTTTAGATGTTCGATTCCAACATGGCGCTCGAAAGAAGATCAATCATCGAAATATCGGACGAGCAATTGGGACCGAATTTCAGTCGATTGATGCAAGTGATTGAATAGCAGTGTCCGTGTCCATTTTCAAACGGTAACGTTTGGCTGTGGAAATGCAAGTTTTCAAACATATCTCAATTCCGCAATATCTCGTAGCGAACACCCTCCATAACGAAATGGGTGGGTTTTTTTTATTTAAGGCACATCTATAAATTGATAATGCAACAATTCTGCGAATTTTTTCAGAGAGGTTGCCTTCTCTAGGGAACATTAGTCGCCTCCATAGCACACCTATGTTAGTCAAGGTAAAGTGTCGATTTCACGCTAGACCCCATATTATATATTTGCAGAGTTCACACCACTAATATTCGATGTACTTCTTCTGTATCCATTATATAATCCGAGATGGATGCGATGTCGTTAAATTATGACCATTTTCGTCCGCTGATTTGATTTAGATAGACAAGAGTGTACAAAATAAATTGTGATATTTCATGAATACAAAATACATGAAACAGTCGTTTGCAGTTTAGTTCCTCCTTGAACTCAGTCATGCCATTTGCTAACGAATATCTATACAAGTTAGAACACTCTATCTTAATTAGACGGAGGGGTGTTATTTTGCAAAACGATTGACAAACCCATTTCAATAGCACTCTTTTTGCTCTGATAAGCTGTGGAAAAAACCCCGAATCAACTATATGTATATAATGCCGTCTAAAGTCGATGTGGCGTCACGTTGACTTATTCAATTAGAGTTAAATATACTTATCATTAATGGATATTTAACGTCCACTCCTAATGATACCGCAGATTAACCTGTATTTTGCTATGCGAGGAAACCGAGGTGCCCTAGTAAGGCGCCAGCCACTAGGCCGCCCCGACCCCTTTCAAATCCTTAAATTCATTATGAGGATATTTATATACCGATAGCCACCGATATGATCTTTAACATGCGTTTGTTTTATATTTTAGCATATTAACTAGCTATAATTCGTGAACAAATTTTCTACAAAAGAGAAACAAAACCCAACCAAATGGGAGAAAAATGGCAAAAATATGACGGTAACATATTCAAATTGATATCTATGATAAAATTACCATAATTTATTGTTGATTACTTCATAATTTAACATAAATAAAACCTTTCGATCCAGAATTTTAGAATCTATAAACAAAACTTGTTACTTCTCCCAAACTGGATTTATACAGCTGTACAATATGTACACATTATAAATTAAAATAATAGTTCGAAGCAATTATTCTTATCGCAACGTAGTCAAGGTCACTATTTTATCTTCATAGAAATTTAATAAAGAAAAAACTAACATCCAAGGAAATCGAACGGAATATACAAAACTATTTGTAAATAAAGGCCCCATTAAAACCAGTTTATAAAGGATTATAACAGAAATAACACGTCCACAGCACCGGGAAAACCTGTTGGGGTCTTTATCATCTACATATACTCAATACTGCGGTATTAATGCTCAATATTTCCTTATTACACTAGTGATATTAATTACATACTAAATATGATACGTTTAGAAAAATCATTTTTTCTGGCAAATACGAAATATAATATTTAATCTGTACATCATAAGTCATCCAGATTTAAAGGTTGTTCTGTAGCCCTCTTTCTTCGATGTTCATCGAGAGCTTTTTCCTGTTGTTGTAGCAGTTTTTTTAATTTTTCGATGCGAACTTCTTGTGGGGTTTTGGGTGTCGATGCGGGTGTAGAAACTGGGCTGTCAACTTTAGATACGTCGTCACACGAATCAGTTAATTCGTCGTCTATGGTAATGGTGTTGCGATCTGAATTTTCATTTGGTGGTAAAGTAATTTGCGGTTCTCCAAGATCTGGTGGACCTGGTGAAGACGGGTCCATTAGTTCGTCTGTATCCTCCCCGATTACCACATTAGAATCATCTTGATACGATGTAGATGGTTCTGTAGAAAACACGACACTCGGTTCCAAAAGAGGCGCGGTTCTTGTCATCTCCTTTTGAAAAAGCGAAGGTATTGTAGATTGTAAGGAACGCGAAACATGGGTTTGTAAGGCATTTGGAGAGGCAGCGTGGGTGCTAGTGTCAGCTGGCTTTGGTTTTATTGTCGAGTGGGCTATTGTTCTTACTGGTGGTGGAGGTACAGATTTAATTGTTGGTGATGAGAAGGTTGTAATTGTAATATGAGGAGTAGCCACAGTTCTAATAACGATTGGAGACGATGAACTCACACTGGGGACAATAGATCTTATACCACAGGGTTGATGTATAGTCTTTAGTATGGGATTTGTTATGAATCGTGTCTGCGCTGGTGGTCGTGTGGCTAACCCTTGGAGTAAACTTTGCATGTTAGGTGTAGTATATGTAGTACGACTGGCGGAACTAGTAATTGCAGTTGATAGTGATGAAGACCTTGAAATCTTAGGGGGCGAAATTTCAGGTTCATCGTCCCCATAACCACGTGTGACGGGTTCCTTCTTAATAACAACCCCAGGAGGGAGAGGGTATCTTTCAGCAAGCGTTTTCTTTCTTTTCCTAGCTGGGGGATCATCTGCAGTTATCGGTGCTGTCGGACTATTTGTCATCTTGTTGGTAATCTTAGTCTGTGTTGCATTAGGACTTAGGTTTGGAAGAGGTAATTTACCAGCTGGTTGAATTGAAACTGGTGGAGATCCTGGTGCTGGTAATGCAATCTGCTTTTCGGACACTACAACTTGTCCTATACTATTGGGTATGGAAGATATAGCTGATTTTGTAGTAGTAGTTGTCGTTGAAACAGGGAAACTCGAACCAGAAATGGAAAACGTCGCAGTGGTTGTAGAATTTTGACTGCTGTTTATCTTACTATATGTGATGTTGGCTGGGGTTAAGACGGATGTGCCGTCTTTGTTTGGATTTAATACAAACGCCTTGCTATTTATGCCCGGTTTTTCTGCAGGTATAAGCACACTTTTACCACCCACTTGCATCAAGAAGTACTTGGTGCTATTACCAGAAGCCGATGGACTAGTTAGGGTACTGGTTTGATTTTGGGATACAGTCCCGGGCGCTAAAATGACATTCGGTTTTATTGTTTTGACTAAGGCTTTCGGTTGTTGCGGCGTTGGTACTGGTTTCAGTGAGTTTATCCCAGTACTAGAAATATTCACTATATGTGGATATGTAGTTTTGACGGAGGTTCCATTTTGTTGCGACGATGGGGCCGTTTTAATAGTGTTGTTCATAGAAATATTGACCACATGTGCGGATGACGTGGCGGATTTTGTAAAATGACTAGTTGATTGACTAGGTACAGTGGTGAAGTGATAATTCTTAAGTAATGAGTTGGATGTTGTAGGAAGAATTATCCCCAAGGGTTGTGATGCGCTCTGTTGAATTTTAGCACTTTGTGTTACGGCTGTTGTCGCCGTAGAATTAAATTTCAATGTCTGAACATTATTTGAAAATGTTACATTTGGAAAATGTTCGTTTACCGGGGCTTTAAATATTATGTTAGTGGATTGGTTAATTTCAGAATTGGGAGTAACTTGAACATTCTCCTTATTTTGTGTCTTTTGCCCGATTGAACTTTTCGCTGAACATGATGTATGTTCCGTATTGTTATTCACACTGGTTATATGTACAGCGTCAATAGGCACAGGGGGTGGGGGGTCTTGTAAGCTCACTTTACTGCGTTTTACAACTGTCACCGTTCTGTTTTGATCGGGATGCTTGCAGTCTAAAAGATTTATACCACACATATAATTCAATGTACGTTTTCGACAATGCTCACTACACTGCACCTGTAGCTTGTTTTTGATATTGTTTTCTTGTGAGTGGTGAAGTCTTTCAAGAACCACATAACACGGTTTACATTTAACAGTTTTAAAATCTAGAACTATCTTATACGATTTCTTCATTTTCTTTTTCCTTTTCTTAGTTGGCTCATTTGAGACATGATCCACATTTTCAGTAGCTGAAAGAGAAAACACAGAGTCTATCCGAATACTCAGGGGAATGTCCTCACAGGGAGGTTCTTCGGATTCAGCTGTAACTGGTGAGTTTTGAACTGTTTGTGGTAAAGACGACTGTCGTGGGTTTTCATTTCCTGGAGCAGTTTTCTGGATTATTATAGGCTTCGTTTTATCAGCGTTAGTTTTTACTATAAATGATTGTAAAGCTTGGCTTACTGGATTCTGGGAAGGGGGCCAAACCTTTGGTACTACTGAATGACCCGTGTAAGGAGGACGTAAAGGTGGTATGCTTGGGTTCTTACAGTAATATGAACTAGTAAAATTATTCTTTCGATAATCCTTAGGAAAAACAACTACAGGAATTAAACTACTATTTTTCGACTTTGAGTTCTCATACTTATCACTACCCATAGAAGGGAATGAGGCTTGTGGCTTTGCACTAAAACTTGACAGGGAATGAAAACTCTTTGATATAGGTTGGTGATTCGCTTGAACAGGTGATATACGTATTGTCTGAGGTGAATTTTCAAACAACTTCTTTTTTTCTGTATCAGCTACATGTGCTGCGATGGTGCTGGCAACATCGATTATGTTAGCAAGAGGGTCTTCTGGATCTGGAGTAGCAGTTCTGCTACTGTTGTTAGAATTGGACACTTGAGATTGCTGGTTTATAATCGTATTAAGTTCAATTAGTTTCCCTGCATTCAATTTCCCAGACGGTGAACTACTTAACTTCACGGCTGAGTCTTTGGAGAAAACTACAGCTGGAATCAAATCACTAGTATCACTGATGTTGTTTGTAACATCTTTACATTTTTCCAGTGGCTCTTGTAAGGCGTTTGTTAATTTGGTTATTGTGTCACTGTTAGAATTATCAGAAGCTCTCACAGTTTTTTCCAATAAAGATACATTGTTAGCCAACGTTTCTTTTCCCGGCCACGTTTCCGATATCAATTTAACTATCGGTGGATTGGGGTGCCTTTTTGCACCCAAATCTAACTGATTTTGTTTCTGGATGATAAGATTTGTCAGATGACTGTTAGTACTTGGCTGAGTAACTGGAATACTATTGAAATTACCGGAAAAGAATTGGGCTCCTTCAGAGTTTGCTGTAGGCTTCAATAGATAGACCTCTGATGGGTTACCGGTTGGTGAATAATACACATTCATTTGTCCATTATCAGAGCATGCCGCGAATAGCTTGTGACTGTCTTTTAATCCTGGTGTTGGAAAATTTTTAGGATCTGCCATCAACCGAACAGTTCCATCCGCGTTGATCAGTAACTTGGCAGTACCAGTCCTGAAATCAGAAAAAGGACATAAATGAACTGTTTAAAAGTACTAATACGATCTGGATGTATAGATTATACAAAGGTCTGTAAATGACGTGTTAGGTGTAATGGTTGGATTTTAAAATTCGCAAAATTTACTCATCTTGGTGGTATTATTATATCTACTGAAGGGAGGTTGAATGGCCGAATGGTTAGCATGTGCGCGCTGAATCATAAGGTCTGTCATTGAGTCAGGTGGCGTGGTTTCGATTCACCGGTTGTACGTTACAACGAGTAGGGTGGCCTGTCTGTTTTCTCCGGGTCCTCCGGTTTCCTCCCACTGCTAAAGACCCCTACGCACAAGCGAATTATTCAAATAAAATTGAACCATATCTTAGTCCCAAAATGGCCTAGTTTGTGTCGAATCTCTCTCTCTCATAGCTTAATATTATTTTTGAAATATTTTCCACGTTACTTACTGCCAAAATGTGATGTATCGCCACGCCGTAATGTAATCAGGTTAAATTAAACCTATACCAAAGAATTATATTTATGTATTTATGCGCGTAAGAAAGTTTTTATTATTATTATTTTATCGACTTGTGTTGATATTTTGTTGGCATTAAAAAGATTCGTTGGAGATTCTCAATATATTTTTAAACTATAATACTTTAGTTTTGAGGATGCAATACTTAAGTTTTGTGAATTAAATACTTACTGTTTTGAGGATGTGTTGGTGGCAGTTACTGGAACAGTGGTCATCTTTAACAAGTACTAAATCTGAAACATTTCAAATAAGACTATAATTAATAACCAAAACAAGCCAGAATTTAGTTCTTATAATCGTTTTGAAAAGTACAGCCGTTCTTCTGCTTCTTGGCATTAACGCTTTTAACCAGCGACCATTCCCTAGTGAGTCTTGCAATACATTTAGAATCTTTGATACTTCAAAAGATAGGTTGCCAGGCAACGAAACATACCCCCACCGCAGCTAAATCGTCCGGGCGTCAACAAGAGTTGTCGCATATTTTTACTTCTGCCGGTAATGAAACATTTATAATGCACAAAAATCGGATTAAGATTAACAACTCATTAAGTAATTATCAGAAAATCATTAGAATTTGTTTGGCTTTTATAAAGTTCTGCCCCATGCTAACGTTTAGTATACGAAACATTTAATATCATGGATTTAGCTGTTCAAGTTATCAATATACTTTTTCGTCTGAATACCCTAAACTCTGTGTATCAATCTAAAGTGAGTCTGGCGATAACTTTAGCCTGTAGAGCGTCCACAAGATATTTTAAAGTGATCAAGTTCCATAACTCTGGCAGTAGTTATCGGAAATCGTTGAAAATCAAAAGAATTCTTCGTCTCATGACCTCAAATACTGCGCATGCATTAAAAGTCAATCGGATAATAACTTTAGCCTCTACAGCGTCCACAAGATTTTTCAAAGTGATCAAGGGCCTTAACTCTGGTAGTAATTATCGGATATCGTTGAAATTCAATTGGATTCTTCGTCTCATGACCTCAAACACTGCGTATAAATTTAAAGTCAATCGGATATTAACTGTAGCCTCTAGAGCATCCACAGTTATCGGAAATCGTTGAAAATCAAAAGGATTCTTCGCCTCATGATCTCAAACACCGCGTATAAATTTAAAGTCAACCGGATAATAATAGCCTTTAGTGCTCCCACAAGATTTGTTCAAAGTGATCAAGGGCCATAACTCTGGCAGTAATTATCGGAAATTGTTGTAAATCAATAGGCCTTATCGTCTCATGACCTTTAACACCTTGTATAAATCAATTGGATATTAACTTTAGACTCTAGAGCGTTCACAAGCATTTGTGGATGCCGGACGGAAGGACCGACGACAATATACGGCCACATTTCAATGTGGGTGTTTAAATAGGTAACTTCTTTATTTAATCAGCGTTATACACGTCGAATGTTTTTCGACAGGAACTAGTCCCCATGCTCTAATGATCTGGTTCATGGGGGTGACGCGTTTACAAAACGCCAAAGGCTCCACCAATTTAAGTACGATCGGCATGAAACTTGACACGCTTGTTCCTTGGACAATTTTAGTTAGCCTGAGAGGAGCAGTAAACTGGGACACTCGTCCAGGGGCTCGGGGTCTAGAGGAGCCGGAGGTATGCCGAGCATTTTTTTAAAGAAATTTTTTTTCGTTCTAATTGATACACCTGATACCCCCCCCCCCCCCGCACACACATACACTATTACTCGATCGTAAAGTAGATGGAAACTGGTGACTTCTGCAGGAATAGAATCCGATTCTGTCAGTCCACTTGTTTTTGAACCAGCGGCTGTCAGGCAGGATACGCCCACATTTTACAAGAGATGCATAGAGAACAAGGTAAAAACAAACGCAATTTTTTGTACAATCAGGGGCAATAATCCAGAAAGTTATGGCCTGAAATGTGCAAATATCAAAAGGGGCTGAGATCTTTGGGATATAAAGATATATTTTAAGTTTCATCAAAATCGGATAAAAATTGTGACCTCTAGAGGGTCCACAACCTTCGTATTACACACTTCTACACAATTTGCGTACACAGAGCGGCCATTTTATCGGGCAGTTTCATTTCGATTTTCCCGAAATTCGAATTCAATCTTCATTATGGTGAAATGGTGATGCATTAAACCGGGTTTTAAAATCGGAAAATAATTGTGACCTTTAGAGAATCCGCAAGCTAAAAATGCAATTTTTTTTTAACAATCAGGGGCCACAATCCAGGAAGTTAAGATCGGGTATCCGCGATTATCAAAAGAAACCAAGATATTAGTGTGTAATGGTGATACATGTATATTCACACGTTTTTGTAAATCGGATAAAAATTGTGACCTCTACAGGGACCACAAGCTAAAAATGTGATTTTTTGTTCAATCAAAGGCCATAATTCAGGAATATCGAAAGGAACCAATATCTTTGGGTCATAGACATGTATTTCAAGTATTTATGAACTCTAGAGGGTCCACAACATCGATTTACCAGATGTATACACTATTTACGTACGAGGGGCGGCCATTTTGTCACGAAGTTCGAATTCAACAAACATTACTGTGTTACGGTGATATATTCGAACGTTTTTTAAATCTGATAATAATCCCTCTAGGGGGGACCACAAGCTAAAAACGCGATTTTTCGTTCAATAAGAGGCCATAATTCAGGAAGTTAAAATCCGATATGCATTTCAAGTTTCATCAAATTTAAACTTAGACAAAATTACGGTGTAACGGTGATATAATCGAACATTTTTTTTTAAATCGGATAATAATTGTAACCTCTAGAGGGACCACAAGTTAAAAACGCGATTTTTCGTACAATCAGGGGCCACACTTCAGGAAGTTACAATTGGATATGTACGAAAATCGACAGGAACCAAGATATGTGGGTTATAAACATGCAATCAAAGTTTCATCAAAATCAGATGAAAATTGTGACCTCCAGAGGGTCCACAACCCTGATACACAATATTTTGACACTATTTGCGAACGAGGGTCGGCCATTTTGTTCGTCAGTTTCGGTCCGATTTTTACGAAATTCGAACTCAACCATCCTTAGGATGTAACGGTGATATATTCAAACGTTTTTTAAATGGAATAAAAATTGTGACCTCTATAGGGCCCACAAGCTAAAAATGCGAATTTTCGCACAATCAGGGGCCATAATTCAGGAAGTTATGGCCCGATATGCGCACATATAGAGAGAAATCGAGATCTGCGGGTTATAAACATACATTTCAAGTTTAAACCAAATCGGATAAAAATTATGACCTCAATAGTGTTCACAAGCTAAAAACGTGATTTTTCGTACAATCAGGGGCCATAATCCATGACGTTACAGTCCGATACATGCCAATATCGAAAGGAACCGAGATCTTAGGGTAATAAACCTATATTACAAGTTTCATGGAAATCGGATAAAAATTGTGACCTGTAGAGTATTCACAAACAATTGTGGACGGATGGACGGACGGACAGGGGCGACGACAATATACGTCCACGTGAAAATGTGGGCGTATAAAAATTGATGAATTTAAAACTATAAGCCACCTGCCCGGGCCCGGACGCCTCCTCTTTCCGCTGTAGGCTCTCGTCACCGTCAGGGTATCCGGACCCCTTTTCCGTTTGAATCCAGTTCAATTTGATTTTGGGTATTGAAAACAAAAATTTATGTGACGAAAAAATTTTATTTTAGTTATTTTGGCGCCTGATGGTCACGGTTTTTGTTTTTCCATTTGTTTGTTTGCTTAAATGTCTTGTCAAAATCGTGTTCGTCTGATTATTATTACATCAGTAAAACTAAAACGTAGAACATGATTTCGGTATGTCGTGTTAAAAATCTCAGTTTGTATTTTAGCAAAGTGACCTCTAGTTACCCCACATATATGCCAAAATAACGCTAGAGACCATGTTTCTTTCAAAAATGTTCGAGCTCAGACGGAGAGATAGTACCTTAGGGTTTTGCAGCCTGATTCCTCCATACGAAAGTTATACTGTCTGTCGGTCTACAATTGGCTCCGCCTGAGAACAGGCACTAAGCTAACTGACCGATGTTAATTTTAGTCGTAACACTAAGTATACTTCAATACTTTAGAGAAATGTTAAATATGGCTTCCATATCGTGAGATAGGTTGCCAGGCAACGAAACATACGCCCGAATTAGCTAAATCGCCCGGGCGGCCAACAAGGGTTGTCGCATATGTATTCTTTTGTAGGTAAGTGGGGGCATTTACAAGACAATTTCATACCGATGACATTATAATTTTTTCGTTTGCGGGTTCACGGGGTTCTAAAAACTAAAACAAGGGCCTTAACTATACAGGCGTTTTCGTTTTACTAATTCAAACAATGCATATCAATTTCATACAGATCGGATAATAACTTTTGTCGTTCGAACGTTCACAACGTTCAGCAAATTATTTAAAACAAGGGCCATAACTCAAGAAGTAATTCTATGGGCTTCTTCGTTTCACTAATTTAAATGATGCATGTAAATTTCATAAAGATCGGGTGATAACTTTTGTCGTTCGAACATTCACTAGGTCCAACAAAGTGAAACAAGGACCTTAACTCTAGAAAAATTATCGGAAATTGATGAAATTCTATAGCCCTTTTCGTTTTACTAATTTAAATAAGACATATAAATTTCATACAGATTGGGTGATAAATTTTGTCGTTCGAGCGTTAACAAGGTTCAACAAAGTAAAACAAGAGTCATAACTCGAACAGTTAATTGACGGAAATTGCTGAAGTACAATAGGCTTATTCCTTTTACCAATCTAAATGATGCATATAAATCTCATACAGATCGGATGATAACTTGTGTCGTTACAGCGTGCACAAGGTTCAACAAAGTGAAGCAAGGGCCATAACTCTAGACGTAATGAACGGAAATTGATGAAATTCAATAAAAACTTCTTCGTTGTACTACTACAAATGATGCATATAAATGGCATACAGATCGGATGATAACTTTTGTCGTTAGAGCGTTCACAAGCTGCAACAAAGTGAAACAATGGCCACAACAACAGACGAAATTAACGGAAATCAGTGAAATTAAATAGGATTCTTCACCTCACTAATGTAAACAACATATATCAATTTCAAAACAATCAGATAATACATGTAGTGTATAGAGTGTTCAGAAGAAATTGTGGACGATGGACGATGGACGGGCGGGCAGGTGAGACGGCAATAGAAAATGTTTATTTAGTCGTTGTGTGTATGAAAGATATAAAACTGCTTAGAACCACATTTCAAAATAGTATACTAATTTTTGAATCTGATGGCCATTCAGAGTAGAGATAGTTCACTGTGTGCATAGGTTTTTTTTTTCTCTTTTCAGCAGCGTGTACGCAAAATATCCCCTGGCAATTAGGCGGAAATTAGGTTTGCTGGGCAAAATGACTCCCATTGTACACTGCATGACACATTCCAATTTTCATTCCTCGTTTTAGTGCAGAAAAGTGTAACGTTAAACCACATTTCATTTCGTTTCTGGTGGGGGGGGGGGAGGGTCACGGTAGCTAAGTGGGTAAGACGCTGCCTCGCTAGCCTGGAGGTCGGGTGTTCGATCCCTGCATTGGCGAGAAAGTTCATCCAAATTTTCCGGCGTGGCTCCCCCTTGTCAGTGATGCAGGACGGAGGGCCTAACAAGGACAGCTGTCTAGTCGTTCGGATGCTGCGAAAAACCAAGGTCCCGTGTAGACATTGACGTGCACGTAAAAGATCAATTGACAGTTGGAATTCGATATAAAAGTAGGCCGTAGTGACGCTGTCCGGGCAAAATTTCACTCATAGCACACTGCATGGCGTATGTCCGTCTTCATTAGCCCAGTTCGGAGCAGAACAGTAGGACGTTAAACTCCATTTCATATCATATCTAGCCAGGTCACTGAAAATCGTTCCATATTACTGCCGTTAAATCGGGCTTTTAAAGATAGGTTGCCAAGCAACGAAATATACGCCAACAGCAGCTAAATCGGCAGCGCAGTCGACAAGGCTTGTCGCATATTTATTCATTTGTAATTATAATAATAATGATAATAATGTATATTTGTAAAGCGCCAATCCATCCATAAATGCATGCTCTAGGCGCGTACTATGTACTCTATGGTTACTATTTGTAGGTAATAAGTGTGTGTGTGGGTGGGGGGGGGGGGCATTTACAAGACTATTTCATACAGATCAGATTATAATTTTCATCGTTTGTGGATTCACAAGATTCTTCAAAGTGAAACAAGGGCCTTAACAGAAATTGCTGAGATTTAATATGGTTTCTTCGTTTCACTTATTTAAATGATGTTTATAAGTTTCCTACAGATCGGGTGATAACTTTTGGCGTTCGAGCATTCACAAGGTTCAACAAAGTGATATAAGGGCCGTACCACTGGAAGTAATTAACTTAAATTTAGTAGGATTCTTCGTTTCACTAATTTTATACAGATGGGATGATAACTCTTGTCCTTAGAGCGTTCACAGGGTGCAACAAGGTGACACAAGGGCCATAACACGAGAAGAAATTAACGAAAATTATGAAATTAAATAGGTTTCTTCATTACGCTGCATGTGACGCAGAATGTCAAAGAGACTCGTTCTATTGACAAGTGAAACAATCAGATATTATTTGAAGGAAATTACGAAATCCTACACTGTAGAGTGGTTACGTTGCAGACGGGTGGGCAGATAGACTGGGGTGACGACAGTATACACCCATTTAAAATAACGGGCGTATAAAAACCTGCTAGGCATACTCCATAAATGGCATTGAATATACAATTACTTCAGTGGCCTTGAACTTTAGGCACGTCTACGTAACAGCCAGTTCTATGTTGACTAATAATCACCGATTTGTCTGTAAGGTTAATGTCGAGACAAATAGTAGTGATACTAGATCGATTTATTTTAACATCCAGAATAAGAAAAGCTATTATAAATATGAGAATTTGTCTTACCAAAACGTATAATGGATCAAATGTTATCAAAATCTGCCAATTCTTACATATTACATACAATGACATTCACATTACTTTCTACTGATTTCAAGTCGCCATCTTTAATCGAGGGGACTGAACGATAACTCACTCTATTCACTCTATTTACGAACATCGAAGCCAAATGGTACTTAATATACAGTGTTTGGTGTAATCGTCTTAATTACCAGCATCCCTTATTTCTGTTAAATAAGACAAATGTTTATTGTGTCCTTTAGGACGAGTCTTAGATACTGGGTATCAAAACTCCAAAATGTAAATAGGCTAAATACGGTGTTTCTTGTGTCTGACACATCAGCTCTAAATAATGAATATTTCCACAGGGAAATTACTAAGGTTATATTGGCGAGGGCTCCTTTGCAGTCATACTTGGAAAAAATCGAGGTTTACAAACACTGTGCCCGGGCCAAAGAAAATGCAATACGTTATTTTTAATTTCAGAACTTTTGTTATCTCCAATGTTTTTGTTTACAAAATGAGGTCATGTGTATCTCATCTGTTCAGGCTATTCATAGGAGCATGACCCCCGACCTTTGCATAAAATAATCTGATTATTTGGTGACGGGGAATGCTCTAACTCTATACAAGTAAACGGGAAGTTTAATTTACTTTCTGTTATTGTTTTTACATTGTGGCGTGTTGAAAGAAAAATTAGTTTTATATTACCTTTGACAGAATCTAAGCCTCGGAATGTTTACAGATGCATTATGTAAGATTTAGATAAAAAGTTGACTGTTTTATCGCTATAATAGTTTAAAAAAAACAGATAATGAAAAGGGGATATGTTGAAAATTTCATTCAAATTACATCATTCTGTGTCATGACCGTTCGAAGAAAGGTATAGTCTCGATTGTCATTGCTATCGTTGCTACAATTATAAACACTGTTACGATTATCCATTTTTTAATTATTAACTGGCAATCGTGTTGAAATCCGTTAAAAATCGAATCCATCCGATGGTCCAGAGAGTTAGTTTAGTTTAAACTATTATAATAATGCTTATTAAGCACGTGAGAGAAAATGTTTAGTATTGTTTTGTTGTTTTATATGTGAGCATGTGTATACCTGTATTCAGAAACAATATCAGATTGTATAATAAGTAACGGTTTTGAATTACTGCCAAAGAACATTTTGTCACAATCATGCAACATATTCTTCGCTCAAGCCATTAAACATTTGGCGTCAAAAAACAATTCCAGAGTAAACAGCCATATTAGATCCCGACATGGATAATAATGGTACGTTACGGATCATGAGGGTATGGCGGCGGGTAATATAATAGTAGTACGTTACGTATCATGGCGGCGGGTAATTAGAGACAGTGACTTTTATTATAAATTATGCCCATTTTGCCGAATTTTGTATTTTTACCAAATAATATAATGGGTTTCTATGATGTACTTTTCTGTGCCAACCGGGATAATTATGACAGACATACACCATGCAGCATGAATTTTACCAGGCTAGTGGCGTCTCCGCGTGCTCTTTCTTGAATCCCAACAGATACGGTGTTCTTTAACATTTACGCCAACGTAAATGACGTTGGCCCTCGTCCGATTCATGTACCACTGGCAAGGGGGAAACCAATTTGGACAATCTCGAGGAGCTAGGGGATACCACGATTGATTATCCAGTGGAAGAACCTTGGCAAACGCTTTGACCGAACCCGGGACCTGGTGTTAGTGAGCTAGTCACTGTGATTCCCGGTCCTAGGCCTACTATAATATAGTATGACATATACTTATAAAACACACCCTCGCACATAGCTTCGTATTTGGAATTGTCACACATTCAAGTTCAACAAGCATGGACAAATAAGTGTAACTAGTTACAAACATTTGTGTAAATGTCTGCCTACTTTACTTATGCCATTTCAGGAACCAGCATTCATATTTTAAGCACCTAAGAAAAGATTTGAAATTACCCCAAAATATACATAATTTTAATTTTCCTGGAAGTTATGAAATAGACTACTGGCTTAAAAATTCACCTGTAACAATTTGGTTTCAATATCTAGCCTACTTGAGAGTGATTAAATTTCACACATGCGCACTGTAACAATAATATCTAAGTCAACACATGTAGGGCCTATTATTGCATTATAAACTTTGTCTCTGGGTACAAACTTACTTTCCACACCACATTACAGAACTATGTAAAGAATAATTTACATCGTAATAATAAGCTAATACAAAACTCTCTAATGTCATATAGAAGTCACAAGTTCCCAACCTCGAAATACGTTCCGTACAATCGTAAATCTATAATAACACAAAATGTTTCAAAATAAAACTCATTTTATGGCATGAATAGGTGTTTATCAACATTCGATGGAAATTGTATAAAATTATTCGTCGTACTTACGCTTGCATTAAAACTTATACGTTATATATTTCATCGTTTCAATTTCTTCTCGAACATTCTAAAATTATTTTCTCGATGAACAGAAAAATGGCGCCCGAATTCCTACCCACAATTCTTTAGCAATCCGGATGTAAATTAACAAACACGATCATTTTACGAGGGGACGCCACTCCCCTGAACAAGCCTCGTTTTCGCGTTTTCTACGCACTGACTGTGACGTCAGCAAAGCTTAGACAATATGGGGTAAATCGGTAAGAGACAAGTAAATCGGCTCGTGTATCGATCGCCAACATTTAGCAGGTCTTTCTGGTAGCTTAATATTGAAAGTTAAGAATATGCTGTAACCCAATGACCCCACTTAACACTAGTCGACAAGTCCCAACCAGTTAACATGTGTGTATCAAGGGGGTAGTAATGCACCATATGTTAATAGTATATAACAAATGAACTAGGACAAGAAGGCTGGTTAGAGTGAGCGTAATGTTTACTTCCGTAGTATGATTCGGCGCACTCGGAGGTCGCGTGAAAGGGGAATATTAAGCCCTGACATTGCATATGTGGGTCATTTCTCATTCGGTGAAGTAAAATAACAGACTGGTTATTATTATTTACTGAGTACTAGAATCTCTGAATCATACCATGGCTAGTTTTTATGCGAGGATCGAAGCTCCTTTTAAAAATATTAATTCACACCCTTTTAAATCTTCAGCATAACAGTTTAATTTGGAAACTATAAAATTGGCGAATGGAATACCACACCAATTATAGGCCAATTATCCCACTCTTTTGAAATGTGAATCGTGACTTTAAGGTAGATACAGTTCTCATATTCAAATTCTGAAATATGCTAAGGCCTATTGCCATTTCTTGCAGAAAAAAAACATTTGGTTGGAAATTAAACTGAAACTGAAACTATTTGTGTCGTTTATTCAAACACGTAGTAGCTTGAAGTTGTGCCCATTTAGCATTGTTCAATCACGTTGTTTTATTAATTTTAAAAAATAAATTCCACACGACACGAGGTTCGAACATGTTCGGAGAATTCGATGACTTTGCATTGGCAAATAACAAGAATACCATATCTATATGGCGTACCATATTTGAAATTATTAAAATTGAAATAGATGGTCTGTACCGTATACAGGTACACCATTTTATTTAAACCAAGGTTACTCCCGTTACTTGTATGCACATTTGTAGCCTACATACACTTATCATAGTCTTATTTGTATCAGGGGGGTAGATACTTGGATGACCGAATGGTTAGCGCGTACGCGTTGTATCATAGGGTCTATCATTGAGTCAACTGGCGTGGTTTCGATTCCGCGGTTGTAGCAGTGGGAGGAAACCAGAGAACACGGAGAAACCCCACGAGGTTGGACAGACGACCCTACTCCTTGTGTCGTACTACCGGGGATTCGAAACCACACCAGTTGATTCAATGACAGGCCTTATGATACAGCGCGCACGTGCTTACCATTCGGCCATCCCCCCCCCCCTTGTACGTGACAAGGTTTCCTCCCACTGCTAAAGACCCCTACGCGCAAGCGAATTATTGAAATAAAATTGAACCATACGTTAGTGTCGAAATGAACTAGTTTGTGTCGAGTGGAAGTTAAACCCCACCTCTCTCTCTCTCTTTGTTTCAGCCTGGAGGTCGGGTGTTCGATCCCTGCATTGGCCGAGAAAGTTTATCCAGATTTTCCGGCGTGGTTCCCCCTTGTCAGTGATGCAGGACGGAGGGCTTGGCAAGGACAGCTGTCTAGTCGTTCGGATGGGACGAAAAACCGAGGTCCCGTGTACACATTGGCGTGCACGTTAAAGATCCCTTGACAGTTGGCGTATGCCCGTCTTCATTAGCCCAGTTTGGAGCAGAACAGTAGGACATTAAACCCCATTTCATTTCATTTCATTTCTCTCTGTTTCAACAGATTACGAAATTCCAATCTGCTCTGGAATAGTACTAGTTATCCCCCCTTAACACATAGAAAGAACCAACAAAATGGCCCGACAGACGGCATGCTCTGAGCATAGAAAATGGTAATCCAACATAAACAATACATATGATGAATTGAAAAACATGCACATAGATTAAGAGTCTTGGTTAGACCTGCCATGTACATAGATTACGAGTCTTGGTTAGGACTGCCATGTTTATAAATGTCTAAATAATAAGTTAGTTTCGAAAATGTTCCGTTATATTTTCTGTCAAAATGTTTGTTTTGTTTTGTTTTGTAATTTGATAATTCGGATTCGTTGGAAATAATTGTTGGATTAGATAATTACGTTGTCCAAGTTTTACACGGTACTACGCTACTAGGACTGTAAAATCTGAATATCGATAAGTTTTTATCGTCGAGATCAGGTCATACAGTTAAGTTTTTGCATATGATTGCCAAGGAAAATAGAAATACAGGTAGTCGCTTTTCACAGAGGCAGGGGCGGATTAAGACCCAAAGAGGCCCTTAGCACTTACAGGATTTTATTACCCTGAAAAGGAATATAATATACAATTCAAAATATTTTAAACAGTATTAAACCATAAACAACCACCAAGCACGTGATTGGAGTTTTTCTGGGGTTTTATTACACGTCATTATTAATTGCGACAAAACAGGTCACAGTAAGAAAAGGCAAAAACCTTAAATTTGGTAGCATACTAAAGCAGACATCCTGTGGTACCCCCATTCCCATGATGCCCTAAGCACTTGCTTATTTGTTTAAAAGACCAATCTTGATTATACTTTGGAGAATAAAACTGCTTAATTTTGTGTTAAAAGCCCTTAAAATCCTCTACCTTCGGGCCGAGCAACTAACTGAATATACATGATACGTTTTCAAACAACTTAAAGGACAATACGAGTCATACCTCTATATTACTGACTGATGTGACGAGTGATAACAGATACACGGCCGAATTTCTGCTCAATAAAAATTCCTGAGCTGAAATTTTGAGACATTCATCTATATGTTGGCGCTTAAATTTCATATGTACACGGACTTTTATTTCTGAGACTCTGTTAAAATCGGGATGGCCCCTTTAGTGGTTAATCCAACCCTGTTCTTATATTTAGAAGAAAAACCCATGCCCTTTCTGTGCGACGAAATACTAAGATCCCAATATTTTGCACTACCAGACTGAATCCCCATACTTTGAATGTCAAATAGATGTCCAGGTATATATTACAATCTTTAGCCAGATAAAAAGGTTTGCAGCTTATAGTTTTAAATTGATCTTGTTCAGAATTCTGTGTTCAAAACATCGCTTTAGATAGCGGTAATTAGTGATGGATGTCGGCAACTGGGAAGAGTATGATTATTCTTTATAGAACACTTGTTTGGGTAATTCACATAGATAACAAAGTTTGTTTACTTTTGATATTAGAACATTTAGGACATGTAGTGCTTTTATCAGGTCACTGTCACCTTGTATATATTGCTTACAAGATTTCATGTTAAAATCGGGGATCACGTGGCTAAGTGGGTAAGACGCTGGCTCGATAGCCTGGAGGTCGGGTGTTCGGTCCCTGCATTGGCCGAGAAAGTTCATCCAGATTTTCCGGCGTGGTTTCCCCTTGTCAGTGATGCAGGAAGGAGGGCCTGATAAGGACAGATGTCTAGTCGTTCGGATGGGACGAAAAATCGTTGAACTCCAATGTCTCGACCAATCAAATTGCTTACCGCTCTGCTTAATCCGAGCAGAAAATGCTCATTATCGAACTTAGTCACGGTATTGATGTGATGAAACTATACATTTGTACAATCAAGGGCCATAATTAAGGAAGTTACTATACCATATACGCGAAAATCGACAGGAATCAAGATCGTAGGGTTATAAACATGTATTTCAAGTTTCATCAAAATCGGATCTCTAAATTGGGACCTCTAGAGGGTCCACAACCTTGATATACCAGATGTTTACACTACATGCGTACGAGGGGCGGCCATTTTGTCCGGCAGTTTTGACCCGATTTTCACGAAATTCGCACTCCACAAAAATTACGAACGGTTTTTAAAATCGGATAATAATTGTCATCTAGAGAGACCACAAGCTAAAATCGGATCAAAACCAGGCAAATGTGTTTATATAAAAAAGTAAAACAAATACTGGCAACTTGGGAAGTGGTATGAGGTATTTTGGAAAGAATAAGCCTAACCTACCTCGTACACAGCGCCGATCGGACGTTGATTTCAGAAGCCGGGACTACTACCCATCCGGCATACTAGATAACATTTCTCTGTAAAACCACACCCACGAAAACAAAAATTACAAAGGGGCTTAAAATGTGAAAATCGGGTCTGAAATAAAATCTGGATAGGCTACAAGTTTGCAAGAAATAAAGCTCGCGTTCATAAAGCCGTACGAGGAATTGCTATTTCTAATCTACGTATAGTGTAGCCCGTAGAAGTGCCTTTTTACGCAATCGGCTAAAAATAGTATTTTCGCACAGTTTTAGATCAGAACACTAAAATTGACATATACTATGGTAAAAATGATAAAATGAACAAATATAGTGTTATGTTTTCTAGCACAATATACATCATTAAATAGGCCAAACATTACTAAACAAGCCTATAAACTGTTTTCTCTCTGGACTAGTTCGCCGTGTTGCGATTTTTAATCCACGAGGCGGAGACAGTTGTTGTTTTTAAGAAAAAAAAATAATAATATGACTTTAGTTTATTTATAGGGCTTCCGGAATAAACGATAATTATCGCTTCAAATTTGTAAGTAGAGGATTAATAGAAACAGGTTAACCCTTTCAATGCTAGACGTAAATCCACTGCCTGTGCTAGACCCTTTTTTGAGGAAAAAAGGGAGGTTGGAACTGAATGCCAAGCAGTACTTATGGAAGCTTTTATGAAAAATCTTTTTGTCTGTTGGGATGGGCATGAGGTTGGGCTAAGAGGAAAAAATAGAATTTTGGAAATTTGCATAATAATGTAGTCACGTGACGTCATGGCGGCCATTTTGGATTTCTCATTTCACACTAAAGCTAACACGAAAACGAATTTTTCTCCATGAAATACTTAAAAGATATTGTTTTTTTTACTGGATTTTGATAAAGATATATAAAATGAACAAAAATATCAATAGCAGCCATGAGCAATGCCGCCGCGAACACGCGCATCACGTCTCCCGCTGCCATGACCACGTGCGGATTGCAATACCTTGATTTTACTTTCACTTTCACTTTCATCCCCAAGTCCTATATCATTATCAATATAGTCAGTCAATAGATCTACACGTTCGGGAATCAGGAATTACCTACGTATTTTACGATCCAGCTGGCCAGCATTATTATAAACATCAGAATTATTGTCAGAATCTACTGCAGACACAGGGCTAGCGTGTTCACATTGGGCTTGTTCATCATGCACGGGAGACATAGCTAGCCATGGGCGGAACGTCGCGCAACAAATCACACACTTCATAATACCAATCACTGTCCTGACTACTATCATTATCAAGTAACTGGAAACGAATTATGTGTATCACCCGCCTCGAAATTGTCCACATGTTGGTCAGCAAGACGTCATTCACGACTTCGTCGAGAGTGCATCGTCTACGTTGTCACAATGCACTCCGCCATTTTACGGTTTGCCGCTTTGAAACACGTGGAAATATGTTCTAGTGTATAGAAAATACAATAGACGGCACTTGCAGTTACGGTACTAATTTTAGCGAGGGCTTTACTGAGTACACGGTAATACCGGGTACGGGCATTTTACCGACATTTTATAATACCCGGTACTACCGGGTATACGCAGTGAAAGGGTTAATCCACGGACTATTTGTATTATTCTCGCTTTCTCTTATCTAGTGACAGTCAATTCTTTTTAAGAATTTTATTGTCAGATTCGAACAGATAGTGTCATAAGACAACCTTTCCTTTTCATCTTCAAAGAAATTATGAGTGAGCTGAACATCGACCGTGTATCTAGTATCGCTCTCTACTCCAGTCAGTTATATGAAACCCTGTGTTTTCCGTTTGTTTGCGTCACTTCCCGTTTCTTCAAATCGTCGTTACTCATCTACCGTAGCAATGATCTCTGTGTTAAAATTATATTTGGAATGTGTTAAACTAGTTCTACCCCATATTTAATATTGGCTAACTCGTACATTGTCCTTTAAGATGTGGTAGTCGGAAATTTCTTGACTGATTTCATCCATAACTTATTTTATCAAACGATTATCAAAGACAGTCTTTTCTTTTATCTACTAATGTAAGGATTGGTAACATTTTTCTCAATAGAAGATACTTCCCCCAACGTCCTTTCTTTTTGTTAAAAGTATCATATTTTATCTATGTTAGTTCGTTACATTCATACATTTACATATTTTCAATTCATAAAATGGATCAAGATCCTCAACCTACGTTGACCAAGAGATGGACTATTTATGATCATAGTTGTAATTAAATGACCTGGAAAATCATAATGGAAGAACTATGCATTAGTGAACAATTTGACGAAAGAAGTACAATTGAAGCACAGTCCCCCCTCGTTTACTATCAAACAATATATCTGAAAAGAATCTATTATTTTTTTCTACGTTGGTATTAAGGTGATATAAGTTAAAGATAAGACCCATTAAGGTCATTAATACCTAAATAGAATACCAGCATTCCGAGTCATTGTTGGGTCATTGTGGTTGCTAACGAAGCGTAATAATTTGAATTTGGGCTATTTTTACCCCGAAAGCGCCAGTCAGGCAATGGAGCGCTACAAGCTTGATAGTATAATGAACAGAGATTACTGCGGACTCAATTTTCTTAATCGCGCGGAAGAATATTACAAAATAATAAGGCGACAAAATTTGCGCGGGCGACCGCAAACATGGACCTGGGTACCCTCTTTGAACTCTCGAGTGGCTTAACAAATTTAAATATGCTAGAGAACAATAGACAAGTTTTTTACCTATACCGCTATCGTTAATGATATCTTGAAAATAGCTTAAATAAAACATTAAAAAGCTGAAAAGGCATAGTCCTTATTGTTTTGATGATATATTTAAATTAGTTTATATGTCAGCAACATAAATACATCCATTTATATTTGATAGATGTGTTTAACACTACTTGTTTTTTCACTAATTATGTATAGTATCAGCCAAAATTAAAACGGAAAAAAGTTTATTACAAAAATGCAGTATTTTGTAATTTATTTGGATACTATGAATATTGTTTTTGTGCACAATCTCCATCATTTAGACAAATGTGTATTCATTTATACTTGATATACGTGTTTAACCCTACATGTATTTCATTACTGGGGTGGAATTGTGGCGTCGGGTGGTCGTAAGGTCTGCCATTGACTCAAGTGGCGTGGTTTCGACCCTAAGCTTGTGAGTGACAAGGATCGGGGTCGCCTGCCCGAACCCTTTGTTTTCCCCGGGTTCCCCGCTTTCCTCTCAGTCTCACTGCCAAAAAACTCCAGTTAGTCCCGAAATCACCTAGTTTTAAAAATCAATCTAATTTAAGAAGAACACAAATGGGGTTTTACAAAAATGTTTAGTAATTCCGTTGGTTGTTGTAATAATTGTTTTCATGTACTATTTTCATTTAATCAAAAGTAATACTTTCAAATTTTTCGCATGGTTATTGGATTCGGATAAAGCACACATTTTCTATTTACATGTTTCGATATCAACTTTATTTCTGACGAAAAACCGGCAATATTTTTTTATCATGGTCTTTCTGGTAGTTTTTGGCACATGTATGTCTGTTCATTGTATTGTTTTTTTTCTAAAGCGATTCCGAAATTGTGTTGTATTATGAACGATATTCAATCTCAATGATCTTGCCCAAGATTTAAGGGGGATCACGTGGCTAAGTGGGTAAGACGCTAGCTCGCTAGCCTGGAGGTCGGGTGTTCTATCCCTGCATTGGCCGAGAAAGTTCATCCAGATTTTCCGGTGTGGTTCCCCGTTGTCAGTGATGCAGGACCGAGGGCCTGACAAGGATAGCTGTCTAGTCCTTCGGATGAGACGAAAAACCGAGGTCCCGTGTATACATTGGAATGCACGTAAAAGATCCCTTGCCAGTTGGAATTCGATATAAGAGTAGGCGATAGTGCCGCTGCCCGGGCAAAATTTCCCTCATAGCAAACTGTATGGCGTATGCCCGTCTTCATTAGCCCAGCATAGGAGCAGAACAGTAGGACGTTAAACCCCATTTCATTTCATTTCCCAAGATTTAAGTTTAAGCCAAAATAAACACTATATTGGGTTGATTTCTGAAAACCTATACAAGAGTTGTTTCCCTTTACCTATGGGCTGATAATCAGTAAACGATATCAAAAGGTTATTCAAATATATTCTTACTTCATTTCAAAAGGTTAGTATTTTGATAAAATCACAGGGAAAACAATTCAAGTTATGAATTCACTCTTCAGATAAATTACAAAAACCGGGTTTGGGTTAGTTTTTTCGGATAATATAACTATTGATCTTGAGGAAAAGCATAGTAAAAAAGGCCAAAAGAAACCAACCATGAGTGACAATTCTACACAAACATATTTTAAATCCTTTTATATTTTTTTGTTTTATTTGTTTTTGTATCTTAGCAATATCTTTAACAATGGTCATTTAAAATAAAGATGTTGCAGTAATTGTGAAATCAAGTAATAGAAATAACCAAGAACTTTATTTATGAAAAAAGTTTCAGATCGTTATTACCATAAAATTTCAAATTCAAATGACAAAAAATTTGAAATTTAAA